AGAGGGAGAAAGGGGGAAAGAGAGATGAGAAACAGAGAAAGAGATGAGATAGAGATGAGAGAGAAATGAGAGAATGAGAGAGAAAGAAAGAGACACTGGTGTGTGCGTGTGTGTGTGTGTGTCTGAGAGAGAGAGAGAGAGAGAGAGAGGGAGAAAGGGGGAACGAGAGATGAGAAACAGAGAAAGAGATGAGAGAAAGATGAGAAAGAGAGAGATGAGAGAGAGATGAGAGAGAAATGAGAGAAATGAGAGAAAGAAATGAGAGAAAGAAAGAGAGACTTGTACGTGTGTGTGTGTGTGTGTGTGTGTGTGTGATCTGTGGTGTGTGCGTTTACCTGCGTGTCCCAAAAAGTCAAACGGGCCATCTCAGCTTTGCGTGTTCAAATCCTTGCCCTTCTTAAAAAAAAAGGGGGGGGGGGGGGGGGGGGTTTGTGGCCTAACGGCGCCCCCCCCCGGCCGGCTGGGCTTTTTTCCCCCCCCCCTGGGCCTTCCCCCCCCCCCCCCCCCAAAAAAAGTAGCAGAGGCTGAAAGGGAGACGGCGACCAGCCCCGCCACACGTAGAGCCCTTCCTTGGCTTTCGAAATAAAAAAAGGGCGAGATTCCGGGGGAGGCTAGTCCTCATGGTTTTAACCGGAGCCTGGAAGCACTGCCTTCCTTGACCAGCCGCTGTCTCTTGGCTTCGAAAAGGAGGATGCTAGCAGCCATGGCCGAATTCAAACTCTCCACGCCGGGGACCACGGGGATGGCCAACTGCTTCCCGCCGCTCCTCTGCGCCAGCTGCTTGGCTTCGGGACTCACGCCGTGGGTCTCGCCGCCGACCACGACGGCCACGGAAGCCTCCATCCACGGCTTGTAATAAGGCTGGACTTGCAGCAAATTGGGTTCTTCTTCCTCCTCCTCCTCCTCCTCCTGGCTCCCCTTGAAGCGGGGCGGCTGGGACGTCCGGTTAGAGGATTTGGGGGTCTTGCCACTGCGAGCAGCCTGGGTTGGCGAAGCCCGTTTGGCCTCTTCTGGGGGTCTCTCGTGGCAGCTCTCGGCCACGTGGATGCAGCTTTCGGTGGGCAGGTAGTTGGGCACGAGGTCCCACTCCAAGTTGGAAAGAATGGGGATCCGGAAATGGGCTCCCATCCCTGCCCGAAGGACTTTGGGCTCCCAGGCATCAACGCAGCCTGCGGGAAGAAGGCGAGGAAGAAGAAGGTGTCGGCGATGCTTCTCTGCCTGGGCAACTGTGAGATGGGTGGACTTCCACTCCCAGAATTCCCCAGGAAGCTACAGGGTACATTCATCTTAAAGCATCCTGGCTGGGGGATTCTGGGAGTGGAAGTCCACCCCTCTTAAAGAATCCTGGCTGGGGGATTCTGGGAGTGGAAGTCCTCCCCTCTTAAAGC